CGTAAATAATAGCTTTCTCGACATTAATTTGCCCATATTACCAATTATTGCTTAAACGTCAATCTAAAGTGTAGTATATTTTAGATCTCTTTAAGCTTAAAAATCTCGCGTTGTCTTTGTTAGCACACAAACTCTGGTAGTTTCAGTGAACTAGGGTAGGGAGTTTTGGTATCGCTGTAGGCTGTGCCTAATTGTAGGTCGAAACATTTAACGCTGCCTACGACAGCTCAGGTACGAGATCCGACACCGTCTTCGGCCCGCACTTGTTATCATTTGAACCGTGCAGGTGCAAGTACATGTAGCGCGTCGTGCACAGCTATAAAATTTTAGCTGCGTTATAATTTGTTGTTACCAGATTGGTTCTGGACGGATACTGACTCGTCACATATTTTACAGATAAAGCTTCTTTTTTTATATAAAGCACACTTGGCCGACGGTGTGACTGCACCAACACTCAAATATCTGCGCGGTCTTCTTCTAGGCAGGAGTGCTGACCATGCTGACCATGCCAATCTTGCAAACTGCTAGCAGTATACATGTATATCGTGACCCTCGCGTAGTAGTGGTCTATTCGGAAAATTCGGACCATGGCGTCAGTTCGGCCTAGTCTCCGACACCGTTCCTCGTGGACATGGCTTCATGTGCATCGTTGCCCGCGGATCGACTGCACTTGCAGTGCCTGTCTCGTGACCACCGTATGGATGTTTTTTGGTGAGCCCCAGATCACTCGGGGTGTACTGAGAGAGGAGGTGCGTTATGTTCGTCTCTCCGTCAAACCTGGGGTTAGCTGCGAGGTGCATACGCTTCCGGTCGGAAAGGTGCAAATGAATGGCTAGGCGCGAGATTCAATACTCGCAGCGATCCGGATGCCATATCGACGAGTAGACACTTGGTGAAAACCGGGGAATGGCGCCACTCGAGCGAGAGGGAGAGCCGTAAGAGGTTTCTCGAATCCGGCCGCAGGACAAGTTGATGCTCGCGTTTGACGCATAGCTTTCTCGACCGATGCTCACTCGAAATTCAACCTTCTACAGCTCAGGTCGTAGTAGCCGTGCTACGGTGCTCGGGTCCTCGCCCCCTCGTGCCGTCCGTCTTCAAGATCAATGGGGGCCTCGTTCGAAGACGTCATGCGAGTGGTTACGACGGTGTCGGCGCTGTACATGTGTGCGAGTCCTTCGTCCTCGGTGATCCGCATCCACCGGCACCGCAACGTCGGTAGTGCCTCCATCCTGCCGTTTGCAACGCTCTGGGTCTGCAATCACATCTGGTACGTCCAAATCCTGCAATTACAGTCATCAAGCCCATAGAGATCCCTAACTGTAATTGATCCATGTTTACAGGATGCTATACGGTTACGTTACGGGAAACCTGTTCCCCGTATTCACTACATACGCTATCGGAGACGCACTCAGTGTCGTCTTCCTTGCAGTGTACATGCGCTGGACAACAGAACGCAAGGCAGCGCTCAAGACTTTCTTTATAGCTCTACTCTGCAATGCAGCAGTGACGATGTACGTCGTGCTGGGCATGAGCGGAGCGTTCCAGCAGTCACATCACACCATGACGTTGACAGTCGGCATCACCGCTGTCGCTTCCAGTCTCGCGCTGTATGCGTCGCCCCTCGCGGCAATCAAAGTGGTGCTGCAAACTCGGTCGTCGGCCTCATTGCCGTTTGCCATGATCCTCGCCGGAGCCATCAACAATCTGCTGTGGGTCGTGTACGGCTTCCTCGTCTTCGACCTGTTCCTGATCGTCCCTTCCAGCGTCAACGCATCACTCGGTCTCGTTCAAGTTGCGCTATGCGGTGTGTTTCACCCGTCTCGCTTGGTGAGTGAAGGCGCCATCGTCCCTGTGGCATCGTGCCAGTCGCCTAAAGACGAGCTTCCGCAGTTCAATTACACTGTCATGGAGCCGACCACACCTCTCCCGATCGCCATCATCAAGGAGAGCTTGGACATCTGCAGTATTACAATAGAGGAACCTTGCTCTCTTGAGGAGAAGCGATAGCCTCAGTAGTCTAGGCATCGATCGATCGTCTAGGCGCTCACTTGGATCCTTAAATACATCCTTTTAACAAACATCCGGCTGCCCTCTCCACATCAAGAGCGCGCAATAGCCAAGTGGCTTATTCAAAGTCTTCATCATCTTCTGGGTGTGAGTTGTGGATAGACAGACTCAAAAGTTCCATCAAGCGCTTCGTTCTCGGCAGGATTTCGTCCATCGTGGCAGCGCCCAGTTCACGCTTGAGCTCTCGAACCAAAATGCTCATTTGACGCACTTGTCGAACACCAACAAGATCTGGCTCGGCATATGCGTTCGACGGAGATCGACGATTCTCAACGACGAAGTTTGGGGCGTTGCCACTGTAGGTAGTTTTCTGCTCAGCGTCTTCGGGTTTGCCTGACTGACGTACACGCGTAGAATCGGCTGCGTTGTCCTGTAGCCGCTCCTTGATGGCATTCAAGCAGTGTACTAGTGACGTATCCTTTTCTATAAAGTAAAAAATGAGAATGAGCAACACAACAGCAGTAAAACTGACGGTGCACGTACTCAAGTGAAGAAGGTCGCGAATAACATGCAGGAAATTCTTCATCTCATTCACCAGCAAATAAATTTCCTGTTGAGTGCAAGTAATATACACGATATATTAGCTAAGATAATAACACACATTGCAATTCAGCAAATCGTACGTTAATCTTCGGTAAAACGCCATCGATACTCTTGACTTCAAAAAGGTGTGAAAAATGCCTCACAATCTGGTTAATCAACACATTTGGACGGCGCTGTAAGATAAAACACAAAAGAAACGGTTAGATACTTACGCAGTCGATTACCATGTATCTACTCAGTAAATAACTTACCTCCACTTCTGCAGCAGCTTGAGTGTAAATTTCACGATGATGTATGACACTCTTCTCAAGTTCCACCAGCTCGGAGACGATATGAACAGCGCGCGACAACGTCGTTGGGTGGCTAGCTGGACGTTCATCACGATTGTTATCCTCCTTATCGTCCAGAATACTCGGCTCCACCGTCCGCTTGCACAGCTCAGTAATAATCGATGCCTTAAACCCCTCCAAAGCATGCAGTCTTCTCCGTTCGACCATCCACTGCTGCAACGTAGGAAGCACCTGCTCCAGCTCGAATCTCGCGCTGGCTGCTTCTTTCGACTCCGTGTCCTCATTTAAATTCAAGAAAACGAACCCACACACGTCGCGGATGAACTTTTCCATACGAGGGACTGCTGCCACCACACTGCAAAGCTTGTCGAGATTCGGGGCGATAAGAGTGATGTCTGTGAGGTGGAGTACACGGCAAACGTGCTTCACCACCTCGAGCGTGGTCTCGCGAGGCAACGTGTTCAGTCGGTTTAGATGCAGACGATGGTTGAGTCGATCCCGTTCCACGAGCTCCTTGGTCCCCATGTACTTCCGCAGTTCATTCAGATCGCTGGCTTCTTCCAACGCGAGCTTATTCTCAGCCACCTGTCGCTCCAATTGATGAATACGTCGCTGACTCAAACGGTAGTCACGGATACTAGGACGTGACTCTGCCTCCAATGTCAGGTTTGCATTCTCCTCCTTCAACCCAGCAATGGTCTCTCTAGCGCCCAGCAGCTCCTGTTCAATCATAGCAACCTTCTTGATCATCACAGCCTCACGATGTCGCAGCTTAGCCGCAGCCACTTCTTGCTCTCGACGCGCAGCTTCCAGTTGCTCTAACATCATTTCATCCGAAGCGACAGAAGATCCAGGACGCTGGCGAGTCCGATACTGAGATCCAGAGGCTCTGTCCTCGTCAGAGTACTGCTCCCACACTGGCGGTTCATTTTTCAAGGCGGCACTGCTCTGCCTTGCAATGAAGTTGTCCTTGTCTCGAAGCTCGCTGTTGAGTGCTGCCACCTGGGACTTTAAGTGTTCAATCTCCTCCTGCATCTGCTCACGTTGCGCTTCGTACACGCCGATGGTCTCGAGTGCCTGGATATCGCGAGGGTTTGCACGACGCGGGTCTCGGTCCTGTAGATTACGGAAGGCGCGTCGATCGCGCGTCTTGTTCATGTTCTCCTTGTCCACCTGCTGCTGGAGTTTGGCCTGCATCCTCTCGACTATAACCTCCTTGGCCTTGACGCGGTGTTCGCTGACTTTAAGCTGCTGTTTCAAACGAAGACACGAGTTCTTGAGCTTTTTCGACAAAAGCTCAGCGCTTTCACTCTCCTTTTTCTGCAAAGCCTGTCGACATCCCCATACAAATTCAAGATACACGAAAAGAATGTGAGGTTACAATAAAAACACACGAGCAAATCCTAATGCAAATTTTCGGCGTCGCAGTATTGCAAAACTCCACCTTCAGACGCTGAATTTCCGCTTTTGCTTTCTCCAGAGCCTTTTGCGTATCCTCATTCTTTTTCTCGATACTCTGCAGCTCTCCTTCACGTCTACTTCGCACTCGTGAGTTGCGCTTCGATGCCAGAACAAGGTCTTGAATCGTCTACACGACAGCACAAAAGTCAGAATGGGTATAACAACATCCTGGTTATCGACGACTGAACAAGTGACCATCCCTACCTCGTTTTTGTGGTCTAGCTGCACGCCAAAGTCGTGAATAACGTTAAAGAGTGACTCCTTGTCTGGCAGCACCTCTCCGGACCCAACACGGCGAAAACGCACAGCTGGAAGGCTATTTCTCCGGAGCAGATCGTTGAGTCCGTCCCAAGCGCCTTCGTCAATTTCAACAACGTCTTCACGTTCATTGCTGGCTGCAACGTTGCTGCCGTTGTCATCATCATACTCCTCTTTCTTCTCTTCAGCTTCATGAAACGACAAATTGTCCTCACTGGCACTTCGAGGCTCACTCCACATGCTCGCCACATCATCGGAACTCCCAGCAACGCGCTCATCACGACTACTTTCTTCACTAGAGTTTTCAGCATCCCCCTCCTCCTCTGCAAACAACGTCCTCTGTGTCTTCGACTGTTGCGAATGACTCTCACTGCCAGTCTCTGTAATTTTCCTCTGCTCTGTCTCCTCTCTCGACCTTCTCGACGACGAGCTTGGTCTCCCATCGCCAATTGAAGACCTCGGTACCCCCAAAGCGTCATTAAGCTCATCATCCAGCACTCTTCCAGACGAAGTAGACGACCCGGAATGAACCAACGACGGTGGAAGTGATGGAGGAAGCGACGCTGATGACGCTGCGGACACCATGGCAGCTTCGTCCACCTCCTCCTTCTGCTGTGGCGTCATCTGGTACACGGACGAGAATGACGACGCTCCTGGTGTCTCAATATGCTGCAGTTCCAGCATCGAGGACGATGAAGCCACGGACGGCGGCGGCGACAGTGTGCCTTGGTCTCTAATATCACTGATCGGGGGATTATTACTGGACAGAGAGATCTCGGACCCCCCAAATAGCATAGAGCGGTCTAGTGAATCATTCTGCTGCTGTTCTTCCTGCTGCACGCTCACTCGGGATCTCGCAACAATATTCGTGTCGTCCTCTGGACGTTCACTAGTCCTATCTCCGCTGAGTCGCTCTCGGTCTTGAGCCAGTAGTAGGTCCTCGTCATCTAGCAGCACAAAGCGCGGAGAAAACTCGGGCGGCGCTCGCTCGTCGGCGTCACTCAGCAGCTCGTCGTCCAGTAGCTCATCTCCACTCAGCGACGCGAGTCCCAGCGCTGGGTCGGAGATATTAAAGCCGTTGTCCCGCAGAAACTGGTCCACACTCGACAAGCTCTCGTCGTCCATACCGAGTGCGGTTCAAACTGAAAAGTGAAGGCGCAATAGTGAAGTTTTCCATTTTATAGGGATTGTACTCATTATGATTGGGACCTAAGCCTTATTGAAATGATTGGACAAAAATATTCACAATGCTGTTAGCAGCTATGCGCATCCAGCTCCTCGCGTTGCTGGCGCTGCTACTGCTGGTATCCAGTGCCGATGTCCTCGCAGAGGACCCGTATAAGGTGTTAGGCGTCAAGCGTTCGGCCTCTGAGGCCGAGATCAAGCGCGCATACCGCTCACTGGCGCTCAAGTGGCATCCAGACAAGAACCGAGACAATCCGGAGGCTGAGAAGCAGTTTATGCGCATCGGAGCCGCCTACGAGAAGCTGACGAACGCTCCAGCAGCAGCGGAGCAGGAGAGAAGGCAAAGATATCAACAGCAACATCAGCGCTACGGAGGATACAGTCGGGGGTACGGAGGGTACAATGGGGGCTACGACTACAACTACCAGTATCAATACCAGCAGCGCTGGGATCTATCGCACCTGACGACGCCCTTCCTATTGATGGTACTGCTCGCTGTGGTTATGGGGATGCTCTCCATTGGAAACAAGGCAGCAGAGACCAGCGAGACGCCGCAACAGCCACAGAAAAGTCCATTAGAGCAGTTGGCCAAGGTCTTTGCGCCGTCGAGTTACGAGCTCAAGCCTGTGTACTTGACGGCAAGAGGGAGACGCACGCTCGTGTTCTTCCCGGATGATACAAGACACGGCTGTGGTGTGAGAGGTATGTGAACGAGGACTATGGGGGGGAGATTTGGATGACTTACAGACACTTATTTGGTGTTGAACAGACCAGTTCAGTATTGTAGAGAAGCTGGCGACGGAGTTCCAGCACGACCCGCTTACGTTCTGCTGGGTTGACATGAACACACAGCCCACGGACAAGCGCGCACTGTGGCAGAAGCAGTTCGGCAATGCCCCAGCACGTACGTTATGAGCTGACATCATTTTGGGAGGTAGATATGATGCTAACATTTTGGTAAAGCATTCGTTGTGAGTCTCAGTTACAAGGGCAAGAAAATTTCGCTGCTATTTCCTCGTAGTGACAGCAACAATGGTCGTCAAGCGTTAGAAGACGATGTTCGCAAGTGGCTTGTGCGTCTTTCAGGCGGTGAGATTCCTCAGATTCCATCGACAACAGATCTCTTTGATTAGATAATCCAGACAAGCTCGCGAGTGGGTAAGCACTGTCACGACAGCAATGAATGGCTTGTATTTATGTCTTATTATTGCACATTTAAGTATTTGAGTTCTTTACAGGGTGCCTTTACTAGTATGTTGCAGCAGCACATGACGACTGGAACGCTGACGACCGATAGGAGGAGCATGGTCGTCTATCCAGTGCTGCTCGTCGAAGCGGCCTCTCTCGTGGGCAAACACTCCGCTGTCTAAGCTGACTCGACGTCCGAGACTTTCTGGTATAGTTTGCTGCCTTTCCAAGAGCTCTTTCAACTGCTGTTCCAGTATATTCTGTCGACTAGCCACGTTTCGGATCTCGGTGAGAAGCAGCTCCAGTCGATCATCCTGAGGTGGCGCTGTAGGCGTCGCAGCTACGGCATCCGGACTACCGTTATTGACACTGGCCACTCTCCTCAGTCCGGGTCTAGGACGAGCATCTGCCACGCCATTTACGACCTCCTGTGCTGCGGTATTCTCCTTCATTTCTATAGGAACATCGGGTTGTTTTGACTCGCCGGCGTTGATCTTGGGCAGCCTGACCATCCCGTTGCGTCCTCGGTGAGACGAAGGAGGAGTTACCATGCCCACGGGAGAAGCCAGCGCGCCTTGAGTCGCTATCAACGTGATCGTGGGGTCGATTACCACTGAAGCACGACGAGCTGACCCACTGCTGGTACCCGGTGTGCCGTTTGTAGCTCGAAATGACAACGTGGGCGGTGTAGCATGGCCAGAATGAGAGTTGAAACTTTTCTGTCGTTGCACTACCGGAACTGATTCAATGTGTTGCTGCGAGTGCACACGATGGAGCTGAGAGGACTGGATAATACTGGAACTTCTCCTGGAGGGCACGATCGGTACGGCAGTAAATTCCTGCAAGAAGGGCAGACTGGCGGGCGATATCCCTGCTGGTAGCACAGCCTCCACGCCCTCGGCCCGCCACATCATAGCCAAGCCCTGCAGCAGCGTCCGTGACTTCCCGCCGCTCTCATAGATAAGTGTCAGTGCCTTTCGAGACCGCAAAGTGGCTAGTTGACGCGCCGATCGCATCGTGATCGGATGGGACAGCAGAACTCGAAGAATCTGCTCTCGGTCGATACAGTGCGTCTCACAGAAGTCCAGAGCTTGAATAGTGGCAAGCCGAGGTTTGCGCGGATTGGCGATACTAAACTCGCCAAAGCACGAGTTCGGACCGAAGAGAGCCACTTTAGTCAAGCCAAGCAGCACCTGTGCGTGCCCCACAAACAGGAAGTACATCTCGGATCCGTAGTCTCCTTGGCTGATGATGTCTTCGCCTGGCAAGTAGCATTGCACTCTCATACGCAGATACAAGTCGTGGATGAACTCGGCGCTGCAGCCAGCGAGGAACGGCATCTTGCGAGGCATCATGTCTTCGCAGAAGCGGTCAGCAACTTTAATGCGGATTAAATGCGCCATTCGCTCCACGATGGCACGATCGCGTTCCTTGTTCTCGCCCCGTGCAGCTTTACGCCAGTGGAAAGTATTTGCTCGAACCTTGTCGCGTAAGGCCCTTGGCAGCATTCGGTCTTGCATGAAGTCGTTGATCTGGTCCATGTCTCTCCGGTAAGCGGTGTCGCTCTCGTAAAGCTGCTGAAAGAGCGACACGACGTTCGTGATACCGTAGGCGAAGACTCCCGCTCCTACGATCATTGCAGCTATCGAAAAGAGGCGCCCAGCGTTTGTTTTCACCGTGACTGAGACAGAAACAGATCAAGTGAGCTAGCTACCACTGCAAGAGTAGAAAGAGAGAGCTACGTACTGTCGCCGTAGCCGACTGTGGTCATGGTCATCATCGACCAGTAGAAAGCTGCGATATATCGCGTTTTGACTTCGGAATCCTGCAATGTCCGCGAGCTGAGAGCGAATTCTAACTGGTCATCGTCGTGGAAAGCCAAGTAGGCGAACACACAACTGAAGACGTGCGAGAGTGCTAATACGACGAACAAGAAGCTCCCCAGACTGCTCACTTTGGAGGAAATGAGCAAGGAATGCTCCAGACGACCCTGAAGACGCGGTAGACCGAGAACTCGTAGCAACCTAAGACCACGTGCAGCTGGATACATCCACGCAGCTTGTGCAGAGAAGCGGAACAGAAACCTGGTAGGGGAGCCACCATGCGTGTACGCTTCAGGGTCGTGTCCCTCTAGTATGGCGTAGAATGGGATTGTCCACAGCAACTCGGGTACAAACCACCCGCGTGTATAGTGTCGGAAAATAGAGGAGAGTGAGAAGTGAAGCTTGCCGTCGTCTTCTACTGCGGTGTTGAAGCTGTTCACAGCAAAGTTTGTGAGTGACTCAGTAGTGAATGAGGTGGCAAGGTAAACTTACTTGAGTATGATGTCTACAAGAAACAAAGAGTCGACGAATAAATCCAAGTGAAGAATAGTACGACGCAGAGAATCACGCATAGCGAAGCTGAGCTCGAACGGCACGATAATAAGAACCCCTACGTCAACGGAATAGAGGAGTCAATCTAAGAATTACCAAGAGTAATGTAGACTTTCACGTACATGTTGTCAGCAATAGGGTGATTGTATCCCATGTCGATCGGAGTCGTCCGTGTGGATGCAGCACGTGCCGTCGATGCAATTTGAAGTCAGACCCACCCATTCGATGTGCGAAATAAGCCATCTCGTCTTCGTCATCAGAAATAAATGGCCGTAGCTCAAACTCCAGTTCTTCTTCTAACTCCTCCTCATCGTCTAGATCGAAGTCATCAATCTCTTGATTGTCGATATCGTCATAGTCAGCTGTTGGGGTCTTTGGCTTGGTTTTTTTCTCCGGGACCTCGTAGACGTAGTTGGTAACCACTTCCGGAGCTTCGTGCTTGTCGGCGTTATTGACAGCAACTTTCGCGCTGTAACTTCGCGAGATAACGGAGCTTTGACGGAGCTTTCGAGAGGTCAAACCTGCTATTAGTTGTTTGGCCGAACTTGAGCGTCTTATGGACAGAATTGGCTTTGGTGGTGAATAGCCTTCTCGACCACTGTGGCCTTCTCGTCTGCTCTTTGCAACGTCTCGTCGACTGCGTTCTTCTCGTTTGTTTTGAGGACTGGTGCTTGGTGATCGGGAATTCCGCGAATATTTTGACAAGAGCTGTGGATTCACTTTGCTATTGTTGCTTGGGGATTGTTGATGATTGCGGCGATGTAGTAGCGAGTCGAGCAAGGACACCGCTAGTGCACCAAAGTGGCCCGAAGGCGGTGGGTTGTTGGCAAGATGACCCGCCGGGACTGGTTTATCATGCTCCACCATGCATGCGCTTCCTTGTCTGTGGAATGCACCGGCACCAGCGGATCAAATTGCAAGACACATCGGGCAAAGTCGTAGGAGTCCTGAGCGCCCGCTTTTGGCAACATGGACGGAAATACCCCATGAAATACTGTCTGATGCTTAGAGACGAGTCGAAACTGCCGTGTCCGATAGGACCAAAGAGCTTGTACCAATCACTTGCGTTGAGATTTATGAACGGAAGGCTCTTAAGAACGGATCACATGTCAAGTCATAGGGACTTCGAGAGGCACTCGAATACAAATTGGCACTGAGAAGGGTACTATCGGTGCCGATGACATATGAAGGTGGGTATTCTATTCAAATAGATTTCCAGTATTTCGGTAAGCTTAGAGATTTTTGATGAGTGGCTCTGACGTCCGTAATATATCCACGGTAATATATTGGATATGTACCGTATCCATCCCTGTAATTACGATCTCACTCAGTGTCTCTATTAAAAAAAAATGTTTGGGACGCAACTTGGTAACAAAAAAACATAACAAACGGAAGCGTACTTCTTTCCCTGGTGCAACACCAAAACAACTAAAATCAAAAATACTTTCGTCAATCCGAGCACAAGTAAACAAAAATCATTTAATGACCAATCAAATAGAGCACTCCGCTCAAACACACATTTCCAAAAATGACGGCCGCCAGAGCGAAGGCAGCGTACGGCAGCGCGCCCACGAAGAAATACAAGAAGTGCGACAGGAAGAGCTCCCGCACTAACATCTCCAAGCATATCAAGGTCTGCAAGGGAATCAAGCTGCCTGAGACGCTTAGCGAGATTCGTAAGAAGTCTTGGGAGAAAAATCGCGCTAAGCGCGTGGGCTCGCAGCGAGATAAGCGCGCAGCCACGTTGTTCAAGGAATTGCAAGGTGTCAAATATTGGGTTTTATTGATATTATTATTTTAATTAATACATTTCTTTTGGTTAGGCTTTCGCAAGCAGCTACGTGAGGCCGAAGCAGCGCAAGCAGTGCCACAGCCACAGCCAAAAGGGATGATGGGCCATGCTCTGGAGGTACTCAGTCTTCATCCACGCCTCTTTGAGTTTGTGTTTGCCAAGGTGAGTGCCAAGCACAGTCGTAAATGCTTGTCTCCAATCTAACTTTAATGCCATAGGCCGAAAAGCACGAGTTGCTTTCAAAAGGTTGGTTCCGCGTGCTGATCCTATGGTTGCATCCGGATAAGCGGCATCACCTTCCACAAGAGTGGCAAGAGGCATCTAACGTCTCTGCGGTTGAGGAGAGCTTCAAGCCCCTCCCAAAGTACAAGGAAGAAATGCAAGACGCAAGTATACGCAAGGTTTATGAAGAGCGAGTTCGGGTCGAGAAATACCAAGTATACCTTCAGACGAGATTCAAGCAACGGTTGATCAAGTGGGAATCAAAATGCCAGGAAGCGCGCGAAGCAACGGTGTTGCAGGCAAAGGAAGGGCTAGCCAAGTTCGCTGAATATGCTGACTGCACCTCATTTGATGCCTTTAAAGCCATTTATCGTGCGCGTTTTTTTGGAGAAGGACAAGGCCTACGAAATTGCAAAGAACTCCGAGCAAGATAAAGCTGCGTCTGACCTTCGATTTCTCGAGACGTTTGGTGCGGAATCGGAGAGTGACGACGAGTAGGCGCATCATGGATACACTAGTACTATTTCGTGTAGCTATAGTACTATGTGCATAAACAATGCGATAACAAATCACGCGTTAAGTCAACGTAAGTACTAAGACAAGACTTTAAGTACTACTAAGACAAGACTGTAAGTACTAATACGACAAGACCATAAATACTACGACAAGACTATAAGTACTACGACAAGACTATAAATACTAAGGCAAACTTGATTGGTCCTGAATCTTACACCGCTCACAATCCCTTGCTCACAATCCCTTTGGTTGGACAAGAAGCACTTGGCAATCAGTGATCAAATGTCCAGACAATCGCTGACGTTCCAAGAGCTGCTTCAAGGCGGTATTGACACCGCCACGCATGTCATTAAACGGGAGACAAGAAGCGTATACGCGTCAAATTTCAAGAAATGCTGCGAGTTCTGTATCTCCAATGAGTATCCTGATCCAGCTGTAACGCGTCACCACGAGCTTCCGTCGCTGTTGGTAGCGTTTATGGAGAGTGTGTCTGCATCTAGTGCCGTGTCCAACCAAACTGCGGAGAAGATCAGAGCTGCAGTGGCAAACTTTTACGGCAGTTATGAGCGCAGAGACGCCGCAGGACCGGACAAGTGGATGGCAATGACGGACGACAGAGGGGACAAGTACGGCCTCGGTAATCCTGCAAAGGATGCATTTGTTCGTCAGTTCATGCGAGGACTCAAGAAGCGAAAGAACAAGGAATTTACGCAACGCCAAGCTACTCCTATTTCTCTGGATATGCTGCGTGTGCTTCATTGTCACTTAGCGCGCACAGCAGGATTCACCGAGGCAAGTCGTTTGTGGTTTATTGCTGTATCTGCTTTCGCTTTCTATGGAATGTGTCGAATTAGTGAGGTACTGAGTTTACAGTGGAAGAACCTTACGCTGAACCTGGCACGTCCCAGTACCTCTGACCCAACTACGTCAATTAGCTATGGTGTCTACAAACTGGAAGGGAGAAAGACGGAGGTAGCTGAAGGCCACTGCTACAATCTTCATTGTTTAGGTGAAAGTGAGAGTCCAATGGATGCTCTAGATCACTTGAAGAAATGGAGTGAGTACGTTGATTCGAAGCCAGACCACAAGTGGAGCGATAATGACTACGTTTTCCCAGCTTTGTCTAAAATTGCGAAGAGTGTTATCAAGACGGATGGCTCGCTTACAGGGTGCGAAAAAGCGCGTGTGGAATGGGGCAAGAAGATGTCTGAGCAGTCATTCATCACGCTGCTGAATTGCGTCGTTCGCGATCTCAATCGCAATGGGACATCTGTGCCCGTGTACATCCGCCGACAATGGCGCGACATTTGGTTTACTTCACACACGTTTCGACGCGCAGGCGCTCAATACCGATTCATGTTTGCACCTCCTGAGCGGAGATGGTCGCTACGAATGGTGAAATGGTGGGCGGGGTGGACTCCAAACGAGTCTGCAGAGACGCTTGTGCGTTATCTTCTTGATCAAGCAGCAACCGATAAAGACACACAACTGGCAGACTGCTTGGCACCAGATCGAGGAGCGCATATAGGCTGCCCTTCTACTTTTCAAGGACGGAAACGGGGCACGGCAGTATATCATGAGCAGCGATCTTCGAACAATTCGACCACTCAGTTTGAAAAGCGTCTTAAAACCGTTGAGAGTTCGGTTAAACCTGTTGAGGACAAGATAGACCAACTTATCGCAGTACTACGACCTTCCGTCACTCCAAAACCATCCCCACCAGCAACAAACTGCAACATCAGCGCAGTGGAGCAGATATCAATTCTACCTCCTGTCAGGGATTGGAAGGATTTATACAGAATGTACTGGAAGGCGGACTCGGCACGGCATCTTTTCAAGCCAGTATGTGAATGGACACCACAGGAAAGAAAGCAAAGTGGGGTTCTACCCAGTCGTCTCAGCGTTGCAAAACTCATTGCGGAAGATGTTGTGGAATTTGCTGTTTCAAATGGAGTATCGACTCCACGCGACGCATCCGAGACGACATTATCCGTGTATGCAGCATATTACGTCAAACATTGGATGGGAGATACACCTACTGCTAGCTTAAATGAGCTCACTATCGACACGTTGGCACGATGTATCAGACTTGATAAAAAAAACGCCGACTCGTGAAGTGTCAACATGCTTACATAATAAAATAGAACAAGTATTACAAGTCTTATTGCAGTATATTCAGTCTTGCTATAGTACTATTAATCTTGTCGCGTATTTTTGATCTTGCCCTAGTACAGGTAGTCTTGTCCTACATTTCTAGTATTCTAAGTCTTGTTGAAAATCTCAGCCCCAGAAATCTTTAGAAACTTATTTCCATATTTGCTACTGAGCTCCAAAATATTATACTTGGTGGGTTATTTTTTATTGGACGATATTGCCTCGACAACTCATGTTTCATTGGTCATGCAATCAAATTTTGCACCACTGGTTGATTGCAGTGTCGGAAGCAACTTCCGACACGGAAAGTATACAAATACCAAGATACACGGAACCCACTTCAATTTCTTCACAATCACACCGCGATCAGTAGCGTCAGTAGGGGTAGGGCAACTATACTCACATCAATACATTATTGTAACCCTAACCTTTCATTTTGAAAAAGGAAGCGCTACTTTAAACCAGGAGGATGAATCGTAGGGAGCAGGATTTGCAGGGTTTCACGGCGCTTTCCTTGGCCTGCTTCTTTTTTTTTTTTTTTTTTTTTTTTTTGGGGGGGGGGGGGGGGGGGGGGGGGTATAGTTAAAACCAAATGAGTTGGACAAGTGGCTGCATCGATTGAGAAACGAAAAAGGATTGAAAATAATCGGCCAGAGATATGGAAGTCCTCGACTCGCTTGAGTCGATGTTGCGACTCTGTCAACTAGCGTATCATACCCGCTGGAGTAGACGTAAGATGGGATCCTACTTCGCTCATTTCAGCGTAAGGCTGTGTGGCTGGATGCGTTCCACGACGGCTCTTAACGTTAGAAAGCATGTTTCCCATCGAGATGTTCCAGAAAACTTTATCCCATCGGAGGCTCCGTGGTCAAAGAAGCATGGAGGGTATTCATTTAGGTTTCATCTGAAGGCTGGTGCTGCACGAACGGTTAAATAACTAAGACAAGGACGCTACACTGTAGTCTCGCGTGCTCTTGATGGATCAGTTGATTTGGAAACAGTTTCATATTCAATGTTCGAGTCCTGGCATCCAACAAGCTCCGACAAATAGTAACCATACCGCTAGAAGAAGACGATCACAGTGATTCCTACGATACCAAATACAGCAGGATTAGCTAGCTTTTGGTCGAATGCTGCTGAAATATCGCTGCATGACCCTTCTTCATCGCATTCCACGCACTCTTCTTCAGCTCCGGTGACTTGGTTGCAACGCACATTAGCACAATCGCCGGGTACTTGGCACACATTCTCGCAAGTTGCTCCCCAGTGTCCAACATTACACGAGCCACACGATAATATAGCCCCATCCACGGCATTACAAGTGATGTTCCCACTAGTGCAGTTTTGAGTACTGCAAGCCTGGTCACACTGGACTCCCCACCAGTTGTTGTCGCATTGGGCTCCAATTTTCACTCCGGCGTAGTTACTGACCATCGTGGCAAATGTTTCATTCCTCGCCCGCTGATAAACTTCGGAGGCAAAATCTGCTGCATTTGGGTAAATATCACCAAGTGACGGCGGCACAGACAGCGTGATGTAAATTTCTCCTGTGGTATTGGAGACTGACGTGATGTTGACAAAATCTTGACCAATGTCGGTCATGCCGAGTGTCCATGCAAGAATTGATTTCAGTGCTTGTTTGTGCTTCTCCGATAGCGATAAAACCGTGTTGATGGCCGTCGATAAGAGGATTTCAGCGTCGTATGCGGTAGCTACACATCCACTGAAGAGGCTGAAGCTGGAGCGGCTCGAAGACGTCACGACGTCGAACTCCTTTGTTGTATTACCGATGGCTGGTATTTTGGCGGACAACGGGATGGAAATATTGACTTCTCCGTAGCCGGCGTTGCAGTTGTATTCCATGTAATGTGGTAGTTGACAATTACCTCCGTGCCACAACGACGTATCATCAAGATATCTCGATGTGAGAGCTGGGAACGGATCAGGGAATTGGAATGTGCTGTTAAGCTCGAGAAAGACCAGAAATTCTGCCTTGACACCAACGCGTGCAAGACCTTTTAACAGTGACAGAGATGCTTGGAACGAGGGAACCAGCTCCAGCTCCATCTCCAGATCGATGCTGCTTTGTGCCAGCTTGTTCGATATATTGTGCGTAATCTGTATATCGTAGAAACTCTCGGAACGAAGTGAGCCTGCCGTGAGACTCTGTAAGTCAGTGGTCGCTCCGATAGTTGCGATGGACCCATGAGGCTGTAGAGAGAGTTTCCTGCGCAGATCCAGCCCCATAGAAATATCAATACTGATCCCTGTTGAACCCAACGGAATAATGAAGCTGGCATTCTTGAGCCGCGTTGTCTCATCCAAAGTACAGCCATTTGGTGCGTACAGGGCCACCTGGAGGTTAGCATGACCGGTCAACTCCATCTCAATGGCCTCTTTGATCGATGCACCGACGACCTCCACGTCGGCAAACATCGACGCTACTGACACATTCAGAAAGCAATTCTCACAGGTAATCCGGCAGCAGTTTGTTGATGGATCGGACGTGTTGGAACAATTTCCCGTTTCGAAGATCGAATAGCTGCTGTTGCTCACAGTCAGTCCGTCGTCTTTCAGATTCCATGATAACGTCCCTGGACTTGTAATTGCTGTGCCATCAACGGCCTCGCACTTTAAAATTCGGCAACACCCTTCGTCGGTCGAGTTGTACCCAGAACCACACGGACCATCGCTAGAGGAGCAGTCGTAGCATTGGTTTGGAGCCAGTGTATCGTCATAGCCGCATTCAGTACTGCACTTACTGTTCTGCTCGTAGAACTGCACTTTACATTGCACTTTCGTCCACTTCTCGTTGTTCTTGGCCCAACACTTATCGACGTCAATCTCACCATTCTCGCTTTCTCCCCCACAGTCATAACTGCAATTAGAATCTTTCACGAATCCAAAGGAACTAGCCTCAAGCTTTCGTCGATGTTCCATAACAGCGACATACTCCACCGACTGCGTCTGAATGAGATTCGCAATATCGGTGGTGTGGAATTTGATTCTGCAGTCTGGGTATACCTGAGCGAAAGTTGCCTGTGCCATTTCCAGCCTCACATGACATTCCTCTGTTGTGGACACGGGGGTGGAGTGTCTGGCACTCTTAACGTAGAAATACGTAGCTGAGCTATCAAACAAAGCTCCGAAAAAGGAGTTGCCGATCACGACGCGGTTCACTGACGATTGGAGTAATTCGTCGCAGCCCACGGCCCAAATGTTTGCAACCGCTGCGAATTCGCCATTTAGTGTTTCGAAACTCTCCAATTTTAACACGTTAGAGTCTTGCTGAAGGTTCCAGATGGAAGACGTCGACGTGCAGTTGTAAGCGACGTGTGTGTTTGGTGACGCGGGGTTTCGGTCCTCGGACGGGACTAGTTCTGGAGTGACGAGCACAGAAGTGGATATACTCGTGTCGGCATTATCAACATGATGCAATCCGGCTGACAGGTGCAAGGTGCTGTAGCTGGAAGATACCGTGGTTTCTGGACTGAGCTCTTCATTAAGTACTCGACGGTGAAGAAGACTTTCGGAGAGCGCGAGTATCAATACCAATAGTTGCAGCCCAAACACTTGATACGACTTCATCGCCGCTTACTTACACGCCCGACAGTAAAAACTGTAATGAGTCGCGTGCACTGCGATCGACCATCGAGTGGGACTCGGTCATCGTGAAGGCAGGTACCTCCATGCGGTCCATCGGCTCTTTGGGTTCGCTCGCAACGACAATTTCGTCTTTACTTGGTACTACCGACACAATCAGTCGACCCTGAACCTTCATGAACTGAATGGCTACAATTCGAAGCGCCTACACTCGCTACTTACCGACCACACAGTTCTTCACTTCTAAATAATTTACGAACATTCCTGGTTGTGCACAATACGCATGTCATTCGTGCTTTATCTTACGTTTGGGATAGTGTGCCTGTTCCACAATTATTCGGAGTAGTCTAATTATACAAACTACTTCGGACTGTACACTATTAACCAAACGACTTCAGTTTCGTGATTGTTATAAATGCAAATTATTTCGAATGCGGTAAAATAATTTTAAAAAATGATACGCCTACCTGTCTGGCAGTGGCTGTCTTAATTCATCCGAATCAGCATGAAAGCACCCACGACTGAAAGCCATAATGCTATGAAACTTGTCGAATGTTGGTGTGGCGCTGTATTTGTTCCAGCATCTGTATCCGCAGACGAGCTCGTTGCAGTAGTCGAGGTGGAATCGCAAAGACTCCCCACCCACCCATCGCTACATCCCGTGCACTCGATTTCAGTTCCTGTGCTCTGGTCGCATCGCGTGCTTGTGCAGTGGTCCTGCAACCCGCAAGTGTTTTCACAAATTGGCCCCCAATAGCCATCTTCACAACCATCACAAGAGGTTACTGCTCCGTCGGTATCGTTGCAACTTACAGATCCGGCTACACAGTTTAGTGAAGTGCACTGATTATCACAAGTCGTACCCCACCGGCCATCTTCACATGAATTACACGAGGTGACAGCTCCATCATCAATGTTACAAGTGGCGGCACCAACGATACAGTGGCTCGACAAGCACTGCTCACGGCACATAGCATGCCACCACCCTGTCGTGCACGTCAAACATTGGGTAACTTCTCCAGAACTATCACATCGGGAGCTCTCGCAATGATCCGGTACACTACACTCGCTCGCACAGCTTGGATCATAGTAGCCGTCATCGCAGACCACGCATTCGACGTCTTCCCCGGATTCTTTATCACATCGTGAAGTCTGGCATTTCTCCAGGATAGTGCACGTACTTTCACAATTGGGTCCGTAATAACCGTCTTCGCATGACAAGCACTCGACGTCACCCCCTTCTTGCTGTTCACACTTTGAAATCGCACAATGCTCCGGTAATTCGCACTCATTCTCACAAGTAGATCCGTAGTAACCATCCTCACAAGAGCTGCAGTTGGACACTGTCCCGTCATTGGAATCGCAGCTAACAGTGTCGTTGGTGCAATGGAGTGCAACGCATCGATCGCTGCAGCTCCGACCCCACCATCCTATCTCGCATGAGTCGCACGATACTACATTTCCTTCATAGTCACAGGTCGCCGAGCCTGCAGAACAATGTGATGATTCACATGTGTTGTCGCAAGTGGGAAAACCCCAGTATCCTGTGTTGCATGAGCCACACCAAGTAACCGAGCCATCATCGTAATTGCAGGTAATAGTATCATTCTCACACCGTGGAGAAGTGCACGCATTATCGCACGTCTGTCCCCACCAGTTATCCTTGCATTCTCCGCACGAAATTGTATTACCATTGGAATCACAGGTGACGGTACCGGTCTTGCAGTTAAGTGCTGTACACTGATCACCGCAAGTTTGGCCCCACCAACCCGTCTCACATGCGCTGCACAAGATCACAATGCCTTCGGAATCACAGCTAGCATTGCCGGCTATACAGCTCATCGAAGTACATTCATTGCTGCAAGTTGACCCCCACCAGCCTTCCTCGCATTCACTGCATGAAATCGTTTCACCCTCGTCATCACAGGTGACGTTACCGGCCTTGCAGTTAAGTGATGTGCACTGATCACTACAAGTCTGACCCCACCAACCGTCATCGCATGAGCTGCACGAGAACACAATGCCTTCGGAATCGCAGTTGCCACTGCCAGTCTCGCAACCAACTGAAGTGCATTCATTGCTGCACGTCTGACCCCACCATCCCGTCTCGCATAAACTGCACGAAGTCACGTTTCCTTGATCATCACAGCTCGCCGAATCTTCCGGACAGTGTGTCGATGTGCACACGTTACTGCAAGTAGAACCCCAATACCCCGGACTACACGAACTGCACGACGTGATAGTACCATCAAGTTCGCAGGTAACAGTTCCAACCCCGCACTGTGAAGAAGTGCACTTTTTGGTACATGTCGGACCCCACCAGCCGTCATGGCACGCTGTACAAGAGGTCGCTTTGCCCTTGGAATCACAACTGACAGTTCCAGATATGCAATTCTGCGGAGTGCTACAAGTGTTGCTGCAACTGGGTGATCCCCAGTAACCTTGCTTACAGGAGGTACACGCCGTCACAACTCCTGTTGCAGAATTGCAAGTAACAGTAGCACACTTCGGTGAGGTGCATGGGCTAAGACAGGTAGCTCCCCAGTATCCACGCTCACATTGTGCCACGATACTTAGCCCGACAAAAGAGCTTACAGTGTCAGCGAAAGTGGTAGTTCTTGCGACTTGGTAAAATTGGGTTTCTAGGTCAAGCTGTGTGGGGTATTTGTCGGCGACAGAAGGAGGCACTGAGATGGTGACGGAGATTTGACCCGAGGAATGAATGGAAATTTTGAGAAAGTTGGGGTCGATGTCAGGGAGTTCAAGAGCATACATTAGGATCTTCTGAAGTGCCGTCGATACTTTTGCTACTGTGGCTGACGTGACTGCGTTCGCTGCGGTAGATAAGAGCATAATCGCATTGTACTCGGAAGAGATGCATCCACTGAACAGGCTGCTAGTATTTTCTGAGCCAAACTGCACCGGTGGTTTGTCCATTACTAGATCCAAGTCCCATGGATTCTCGATTGTTGCGAACGATGCGATCTCGACAGGCTTGTGCCCACAAACTCCCCTGTATTCCATGAAGTGAGACGCAGTACAATCGCCACCGTGATATTCTGAGGAAGAGTCGAGATATGGCGTTGTCAAGGCAGAAAACTGTTCTGGATACTTGACTGTTGACTCCAGACGTACAAATGTAGGAATTCCAGCTTGAATCCCGATGTTTACGAGCTCTAGAAACACTAGATTCGCTCTAATTGTGGGAGTCACGGATAGCCCAACGACAGTATCGACGCCTCTTTTTGTGATGTCTTCTCCTTGAAACACAATTTGCTTGTCGACAAAGTCGCTAGAATTCACTGATCCAGTAGTCAAATGTTGAATCTGGACGGTAACTCCAATCTCAGCACTGGTACCATGAGGTTTGATAGCGAGTTCTCCAGTAAAATCCACGGTAAAGTCAACTTCGAGAGAAGTCAGGCCTAGTGGTATCGACAACGGAGTAATCCGGAACGACCTCAGCATCGTTGACTCGAGTTTGCAACCGTTTGGAGAAACAACCTTGACATTTATCGCCGAATTTCCCACCAATTTTATCTCGGTTGCTGTGTAGTAATCAAGTGAAGGCGAATGAACGTCAATTTCAGCATACAGCGACGCAATTGACATGTTGATAAAGCAGTTTTCACATGTGATACGACAGCAGTCGTTCGATGGATTTGTTGGATCGGAACAATCGCCACTGGTATACAGCAACATCGAGGGATTCGTGATGGTACTTCGGTTTGGTTGTAAATTTAGAGTGAATGTTCTTGGCGACGACATTGCTGTGTCTGCAATTGCCGGACAGGTCAAAACTCGACAGCAGCCCGCACTGTTTGATAAGTATCCGGATGGACACCCGTACTTGGATTCAGAGTAGCAGCTGTAGCATTGGCTCACGTCAAGCGCTGACTGATTATGCGGAGAACCTGTTTCATCGCCACATTCGAAGTTACAAGCGCTGTTCTTCGCATAGAACTGCATTTTACACTGAACCACTGTTTGCTGGCCATCCGACGCTGGAGCGTAGCAATTATTATGATCGAGGTCATCAACTCCACACTCGGTCGTGCACGACGGATCTCTAATAAAGTCAAAAGAACTTGCATCTTCAAGCCGCCGAGATGGTCGTTCACTGTCATCGTTTAGAGCTGGAGATTCCAACAGAATAGTATCGAGGTCTGTCGATCCGAACCTGATCTTGCACTGTGGATACACATCTGACAGAATCGCTTGGGCCATTTCCAGCTTTAGTCTACAATCAGCCGATGACGAGGAATTAGAACCAGAAGAGTTACTCAGCACCACACTGCCAGTAATGAATAGGTACAAGAGAGAAGAATTCTGAAAGGCAGTCCCAAAGAATGAGTTCAAAACCACAGATCGTCTCATCGATGTGTTTTGAATTGCGGAGCAATCTGCAATCTGTACCACAGCAACGGCAATGGTATCGCGAGGGGCAGACGTATTAGCGTTGCTGCCAGATGATGAATCCACAGTGTTGCTGTCGCTGCTTGGAAATTGTTGAAAATCCTCCAGCTTCACCACGTTAGAGTCCTCAAGAAGGTTCCAAAGATTCGCAGCGGAAGTGCAGTTGTACAAGAGCTGCGTGCGATCCGAGAGCTTGTTATTGAGCGTTGGTTCAGATTGATTTCCAGAGGTCGACACTGTGTCATTAGTAAATGAGGGCATGACCAGAATTGACGCGAACACTGTCGTATTAGGGGCGGTGGCGCCCCTTATCCCGATAGAGTCGTCATTGAGCGCTCTGTAGCTGGAAGCTACTGCCACCAATGTGTCTGGATTGATATCCGTATTGTTCAGAAGCTGATCGCGCAGATTCTCTGCTGGTATATAAGTGACCCCACCGAAATCTCCGACGTTGTTGCCGCTTCCACCACCAGCACTACTGTCGTTGGTGCTTTGATTTCCGTGTATGGCTACGAAGACCAGTGTCAGTTGAAAGACGACGTGGCACAGAAACACTGTCCGCGTCATATCGCAGTGAATACTCCCTCTGATGGTAACTAAAGCTGAAGCGTACACTTGAGATCCTCGAGTGAAGGATAAAAAACAGGGAGCGATCAGTGCTGTCCGCTGCAGGTCCAGATGTTCGGTTTAACCTCCAGGTGCTTGCACTCCAGTCTAACACTACCTAAAACTTACCACTAGCATTGTAGCCTTCCCATACAACAGTTATAGTAGCAATCGCATGTCAATCTGCGATGTGCGAGGGAAAGGTAGTGAACGGCAACTAAGCGATGAGGTCTTATCTAAGAAGTACTTGGAGTGGTCGACAGTAGTGGGAGAGGCTGTTACAAAAATACTCCTAGTGATACGCGTTTAAAAATGCTTGTAGAATGATCTTTCGCAGCGCCATATTCCTTAAAATAAATAACTGCTAACTGCTTGTTATTCGCCGAAGTAGAATCGAAAAACTGACAATTGGCGTCACTGACTCAGTGAGGTTGTTCTGCACGTCAGCTACCCCCCCC